TCAGGTTTTACACCTCTTATGAAATGTAGACTACATTTATTACGGAGTTTATGTCCGAGCCAACCGACTCACAGATCGTTGGCTACTGAGAGAGATGCAAAATACACCGCATGTAGTACGACACAAACCTCCCCTGTGGATTTTCAAAACAAAATACAGTAAAACTATGGTCGCAGGCCCAAGTTTAACTCTCTGAGGCCTGCATGGTCTGCCTACAAAACAAAAATAAAAAAACGTTTATGCAGCCCCAACAACAGCCTCTGATCATCAACAGACTTCATGCAATGCTTCATCGGATGCATATATTATTAGATAATAATCTCTATCTCACTCCTAACACATCTAAATCTACTTTCAGCATGGATAAATGTTTATAAAATACATCCATTGTTTGTTCTATATGCTTCTTGAAATCCTAAAAAACACAGTTCTAGAACAGATTACAAATCGCCTGAAAATGGTACAAACAAGTGGCAACATGTTTGACGAAGGTGTTGCGCTGGGCTATCATGCAATCGAAAGTGAAACTTAAGCTCGCTCCATTGCGGAGATATTCCCGCGAGAGTGCGGAAAACTTAAAGTGGACCTATCATGCTATATTTGAACAATATATTGTAGGGCCATACCTATATAAAGTATATAAATATAGTTTTTTTTTCCAAATACCAAACAGATCCTGCATTTTAGCCATGCCTCATTTCGCTCCATTTGCTCTTTCCAGCACTGTTTTTGCAGGGTCTGATTCTGTGAGCTGCAGCTGACCACGCCCCCCTGCAGGAGAGGGGAGCGTGCTCTGATCAGCTGCTGGGCTGTCAGAAGAGGGGGAGAAAAAGAGATCTCCGTCCTCCGTGTTTTATTATATTATTATATAGAGTCATTATTCATTTGTTTTAAAGCTCAATAAATAACAAAGAAGACCTTTGACCGGCACTTTTCTAATTTTGTCCGGAAGATTTAAACTTTAACGGACATCTTGACCAGCGAAAAAAAACCTAACTGAAACTCTGCCGCACGGTCCCCTCGTTCCTTGGAAGAGGCGGAGAGGTGGGTGTTTGTCATCTGCTGGTGGACTAACCGGAGAGAATTACAGTGCTTGCCTCGACGGGGAGGGATTGCATTGAATTACAGCAGCAGGAGCAAACGCTTGCCTCGGGGAGGGAGAAAAAGAGCCACAGCGGAGAATAAACAGAAGGGCAACCATGGCAACCATGGCAACCATGCTCGGGAAGTCTTCTTCGCTGCTTTTGTGGCAAACTACAGCGCCACTTACAGGCCTGGCATATGTACTACAGCGTCTCCAGCGCTTTCGAGCGGCAATGGCCGGCCGTGGCCCAACCCCACATTCCCCTGATAGGTGGAGAGTTGGCCCAATAGCCGTAGCGCCACCGTCCTGACGTCAGTGAAATGTTCAAATCTGGATTAGTTTTTATCAGATCCGTTGCAGCCCCGTTTTTAGAGATTTGGGTATGGAGGGAAATAGAGAGGGTTGTGTTTTCTGACACTTGGTGAGTTCCCTGGAACACCGGGGACACATATTCATGTATAAAAGACATGTCTTGAGTGTTCTTGACAATGCTTTTTTCTCATATCAGTCTCATATAATTTCGCCAGAGGAAAAAATTAAATTCTGCAAGTCATTGTTACTATTTCATTATTATCACCTACACTCATTCTCATGACTAACTATCTCATTAAAATGAATTACTATGTCCTTATCATGACTTTATCGTATTTATTTGGTTTACTATCTCTTTATTTTGACTTGGATTAATACACGACATTTATTGGCCATAAACAGACTCTAGATCAGCGGTTCCCAACCTGTGGGCCGCGGTCCCCTAGTGGTCCGCGAAGGCATTGCACGTGGGCCGCCAAAATATATATATATATATATATTTTTTTTTTATTATTATTTTGTACAGGCTAAAGACACAAACATGGACATAGCAATAACATATAGGAGATGACATTCCCATCTCAGACAAAAACAAAACAAAAACATAAAAATAAAGATACAGTCAGTAGGATCACTTCAACATTTCACAAACAAAAATAGGTTGACAACCAAAAACCACCAAAAGCACAACATGGCAAGCATATTTATTGTTCCTTTAATCCCACTCTTCGTTAGAGCTAATTATTTCCCATTTCATGGCGTGTTCAGCCTTTGATTTGTTGGGGCAATCATTTCTTTCAAAATAAATTGTATTTTTTATCTACTCTTCAAACACCTTAAATTAAGATGACTCCTTGATTTACTTTTAAAAATATATATTTTGTTATATTTATTAACTGAATGTAAATTCAATATTTTCCGCCAAATAATTTGCAAAGCATTATGTTTTGTGTGGAAACATTTTCATTATTAAGATTATTTCCTTTCTCTTTCTCGATCCTCCTTAGCAACGGTCATTACAGTCCTTGACAGCGGTCTGTTCTACTGGATTTACAACGTGTCACATGTTCTGAATTGACCAATCAGAAATGTATTTAGCCTCCGTATTGTTTATGGTTGAATGTGGGCCGCGAAGGAAAATGTGATTCTTAAGTGGGCCCTGAGTTGAAAAAGGTTGGGAACTGCTGCTCTAGATGAATGTCAATGTTCATACATTTCAACTGGGTGTGAAAATAAGCAACCGTTTGCTGTAAGCTAGCAAGTTGGCTTGTTAGTATGGAAGCCCATTTTCGCCACTGGGAGGAAAAAATGTATCCTGTAAGACATTATTATCACTTGGTATCTCCTTATTGTTACTATCTAAATTTGACTTAGTATCTTATTTTTATGACTTACCATTTCATTGTATTTTACTTACTATATTATTTTCGCTTTTTCTTTCATTATTATGACTTGAATTACAGTGTCATTATTATGATGATATTTATCATGATTTCAGCCACAGACTCATCCCTCCTCGGCACAGCACCAAGCGCCTCGGACAGTCCTTTGTGCCTGTAGTCATCAGGCTGCACAACAAGGGGTCAACAATGTGACACAATTACTGGACATAAAATACACACTGCACACATTCATGTAAATATATCTAATATGTATATGACCCAACATGTATATATGTTCATTTGAATTCATCTCTTATTTCATAGTTTTTTTTAATCATTTTTATTTTTATCTTTGATTTGATCTTTAATCTTATTAATCTGTGTGAATCTGTGCTGTCCTGTTTTTCATTCTTACCCTGTTGCTGTTAAACTACTGCATTTTCCCACTGGGATTAATAAAGGTCCATCTTATCTTATCTTATCTTATCTTATTTCCAAAATAATGGCTTGCCATCTCAATATTTTCACATTGTATCTCATGACTATGTGTCTCTGGACCGCTGGCCAACACACAGCTCCACCACCAAGAGCGCTCTGATAGTTATTCATAATAATGAAAAAGTAAGTCATAATGAAGCAGTGAAAGCCAAAATGATGAGACAGTAAAAGTGATATTAATGACATATTAAGGGTATATTTGTCCTCGTATTGGCAAAAAAAAGGCTTTGCTTTGTTTATAATCTGCACTGACTTCAGACATACTGTATCCGTCTCGAGCTGCTGATCATTAGCTGTTGCTTTGAGTTGGACACGTTTGTAGAGTTATTGTTCAGAGCTTTTTCTCTTAAATTAATACAAACCAATGCCAGCTTAAAACATGTGCAATGAGACTACATGAAACTGAAAAGTAAGAGGCTGGAAAGGCTTAAAGACATTTGGAGATTGTAAGGGAAATTGAGGACGTTATAAACTCCACTGTATGGGTTTTTTACTTTGGGGCAATCCCTTTAATTCTTTTTAATCCATTGCTTGTATATAAAGTATTGATTTTAGCATCAACCTACTTGTCCCTTGGGTGCCATTATAGTTAAAGAGTTTATTTTTTGGCTCTGGGTTAGCGTCTGTCCTCTAACAAACAATACATTTCTATTGTATTGAATGTTTAGGACCTTTGGTGTATTTAATATATAAAAAATAGTCGAAATAGTTGGTGACAAGAGAAGATAATATAAAGGTGACCATAAACTTCCAGAAAAGCTTGAATGTAGAAGGTTCTAAAAAAACCCGTTTGCGAAATAAAACCCCATGATTAACACGTATTTCATTCATGCCATGTAAAAAAAAAACACAGCATGTTTCTTGACCCTTTTCCAGAGGTTCAAACTATAATTTCTTATTTATATATTTTTTCAGTCTTTTAATGAATGCAATATTTGTTTCAACCACTAGATGGAACTAACTCATATGAAAACCAAGACTCCCTTGTGGATGAGCTACCAAATAACATTAATAACGATATTGGCTTTGATGAAAAATATGTAGTGTGCTTAACATTAAACTATATAATTGGAGCAGTGGGTTTACTGTATCTGTATCAGTGATTTCACAAACAATTGAACACTTAATGCCAAAGTGGTTTTAGGCAGATTGTTGCAAATACTAACTTTTAAATGCAACGCTTTTAAAAGTTAGTTTATCTTGGCCTATGGTGAAGTGTGACACCTGTCAGCCAAAGGTTCACACTATTCCGCTCTAAGAAAGATGGTTGTATTAGGGAAATTATTGCAGCAAAGGAAGACATCTACCAACTAAACATCACTGCAAACAATATATGATTTAAATCAACATCTTATAAAAATGGAAATGTTCTCAAAACCTTTGGTAGACCTCAATGAAGGCAAAGCACTTTAGCAAACAATAGAGCAGAGTGAACAAAGGTCTCCACTTTTTCACTTTTTCTTAAAAAGGATTCCAATTTATTAACTTGAAAGACCAGAGACAGGCTTTATAACATAGACAATGCATTCTCATGATAACAAATAATTAAATAATAAATGGTAGAAGCTAAACTATGAGGAGTAAATGAAAATACTTTAAATTAAGGACACCTGGGCATCACAATGAACCAAGCCCCATTACTTCCACCTGTTTCCAATCAACATTTCAGGAAGTGCTGGGATTGGCTCTTAGAACAGGTTAAAACAATTGCAAGCTTCCTACCAGAGCACCACTGTGTAAGGAAGTCAAACCTTTTGTGTTGAGGCACTTCAGTTTGTGTTTTGATATTTTATCTGGATAAAACCATGGGGCTTGTTCTTCGGTAACTTTAACGTGGCTTCTTCTGCTTTCAACATTATACATTAAGACTGTCTAAAATTACTCGTTGTTTTAATATGTCTTTCTTTTTTAGTGTGGTTCTGCTATGGCTGCTAGTTATTGGAGAGCTTCAGGCAAGTATTACATTTCAGACAAAAGGTTAAAATAACACTCATTATGCAAAGTTCAAAAGTATTGTCTTTTTATAACCAAGTTTACAAATCTAAAGATCTGCTCAAAACATATGATTCATTGACTTCATGATAAAACAGAAATTGATCTTAGGTTTTTCAAAACCTAAGATGGGCTAGTTAGGTTGACCTTTGTAATCCTTTCTCGACAGTTCCCTATCATGGCTATTTACGCAGAAGCTCGTACACCGCCAGCATGGCCCGGCCCCATTTTGGGGATCCAGTCCCAGCAGCCCGGCTACCCGCCCCGTCCTGAGGCCCAGCAGCCCGGCTACCCGCCCCGTCCTCAGGCCCAGCAGCCCGCCTACCTGCCACGTCCTCAGGCCCAGCAGCCCGGCTTCCCGTCCCGTCCTCAGTCCCAGCAGCCCAGCAACTCACCGCAGCCCCGTACTCAGTCCCAGCATCCCGGCTTCCTGCCCCGTCCTCAGTCCCAGCAGCCCGCCTACCAGCCCCAACCTCAGTCCCAGCAGCCCGCCTACAAGCCCCGTCCTCAAGCCCAGCAGCCCGCCCACCAGCCCCGTCCTCAGGCCCAGCAGCCCGCCTACCAGCCCCATCCTCAGTCCCAGCAGCCCGGCTTCCCGTCCCGTCCTCAGTCCCAGCAGCCCAGCAACTCACCGCAGCCCCGTACTCAGTCGCAGCAGCCCGGCTTCCCGTCCCGTCCTCAGTACCAGCAGCCCAGCAACTCACCGCAGCCCCGTACTCAGTCCCAGCAGCCCGGCTTCCCGTCCCGTCCCCAGGCCCAGCATCCCAGCAACTCACAGCAGTCCCGTACTCAGTCCCAGCAGCCCGCCTACAAGCCCCGTCCTCAGGCCGAGCAGCCCGGCTTCCAGGCCAAGCCCCGTCCTCAGGCCCAGCAGCCCGCCTACCAGCCCCGTCCTCAGTCCCAGCAGCCCGGCTTCCCATCCCGTCCTCAGTCGCAGCAGCCCAGCAACTCACCGCAGCCCCGTACTCAGTCGCAGCAGCCCGGCTTCCCGTCCCGTCCTCAGTACCAGCAGCCCAGCAACTCACCGCAGCCCCGTACTCAGGCCCAGCATCCTGGCTTCCTGCACCGTACTCAGTCCCAGCAGCCCGGCTTCCCATCCCGTCCTCAGTACCAGCAGCCCGGCTTCCCGTCCCGTCCTCGGTACCAGCAGTCCGGCTTCCCGTCCCGTCCTCAGTACCAGCAGCCCGGCTTCCCGTCCCGTCCTCGGTACCAGCAGCCCAACAACTCACCGCAGCCCCGTACTCAGTCCCAGCAACCCGGCTTCCCGTCCCGTCCCCAGGCCCAGCATCCCGGCTTCCCGTCCCGTCCTCAGTCCCAGCAGCCCAGAAACTCACCGCAGCCTCGTCCCCAGGCCCAGCAGCGGGTGTACCAGGCCAAGCTCCGTCCCCAGGCCCAGCAGCCAGTGTACCAAGCCAACCCCCGTCCTCAGCCCCAGCAGCCGGGCTTCCAGGCCAAGCCCCGCGCCCAAGCCCAGCCAGCCGGCTACCAGGCCAAGCCCAGGCCCCAGGCCCAGCAGCCAGTGCCCCAGCCAGCCAGCTACCAACCCAGTGGCAGTTTTGGCTCTCAACTTCCTGCCAAGACTGAAGCTGCACCAAGAGAGGTTGAACAGGGTGAGTTTCCATCTCAGTAAAAAATCGCAAGTTGCAAAGTATACAGTTTCTGAGTTGATGCTTGGTTCTCATGTTTTTGCATTTTTCACTTTTAGAATGGGACCCATCTCGACTTGGAAACTAAAGGTGTTTTTGGCTGAAACTGAAGGTAATTTAAAGTAAACTTTTTTTTTTAAAAGAAAAACAAGCTTATACCATCTTTGATGCCAACAGCCACATATTTATGGTTAAGCCCACTAATTTCCTGACCCTTGCCATTTCAGATTTCTTGGAAGTGTTTCAACTAACTGGCCTTGATAAACTAACTCTCACCTGCACAGTCTTTAAAGAAATAAATGCATTTTACACTGATGGAAATCAAAAGTGTTTTGTCTTTTCTTTTTTGCTCTCTAAAGGCAGAAATGTAGTTGACATTAAAAAAAGCTAACATTTGCTCAATACACATGACATCCTGTATAATTCACACCCACTTCCTGTATTTTTGACGAACAAGGTGGGAATACATAATGAATCTATTTAGGCTAGGTCGATTGAGGCTACATGTCCAAGTCAGGAGAAACTTGGTGTGTAACAAAGTATTAGATTTCAGTAAATGTTTTCTCTTGCCTCACACGGTTGATTTGAACTATTTTCATTACATCAACACTTTAGGCGAACATTAACCATGTACAGGTCTGTATTTTGCGTGTTGTTCCAAATTCCTATCTTTACTGCAGCACTTGAATGCAGCATAAGAGCCGCCCCGCTCTACCAGATTTTTCAGCCGGTAGGTAGTTAGTCGGTGTTTGCCAGTGACAGCCATCCCTGAAACCACCAGAACCCTCTGGATTTTCCACCTTGTCCTCACATCTATAAAAAAGAATGACACGTTGCAATGAAGCGGAAAGAAAAGGTTTTTTAAGAGTAGTCTTCATGACTGCTGTGCAACAGGCAACTGGGCTGCAAACTCACTGAAGGCTCATCGGCTTTGGAGGAACTGTTGCACAAAATCCCGCTGCGATGTCCCTGCTGTGTGTCCGAGGTAAGGTCTCACTTTATAGCTGCAGGCTCTCCTTTTTATTCCTTTTTTGTATTATTAATTCAAAAATAGAAATACTCCGGCAACAAAGTATGAGCTTGTTGTGCTTGCATTTAATAATTTGATGGAGGGGGAAAAGCAGTTCAATTAATCCTTTTGAACAAATATCAAAGCAAATTGTATATTGGCCTACCACAATGTTGAGTTTCACCTGCCTCATTCCATCACTAACATGTTGGTGATAATGTAAATCGGTAGAGATTCATAACACTTATTTCCCTTTAGACATCCAGCAACATGTGGGCAGCAACCCTTTTGAATTGGCCCTTTTTAGCTGTGTTTAATTTCCTTGATGGGATAACAGTCATTTCTTACACTATAGCTTCTTCAATAGCCTGTTATTTATTTTTCTCACAAATTTCAAAACATTCTAATTTTAGCCTCAAATGTGTAAGTTTCCTTTCTAAAAATCTTTAAAGATATTATATTGAGAAACTTTTTGCTATTTTCTGAAACATTTTTTGACCAATGATCAGCATTATAAAAAAGCCCTTCATTGCAGCCCTACTTTTTGGTAATTAAGAAAAGGTTTACTTAAAATGTCCTACTCGGGTCATATCCTGGTAACTTTTAAATGATCAAATCTAAAGGGTTTATTTTCAACATAAATATATTTCGGATTAGTACCTCCAGGGGCCCCTCAACCCACGTAACAACACGCCTACCTAAAATAAGCAATATTTTAAATTTTCATTCAATCTGGCATGTGAATCGCACACCTCTTTGTCGGACGCAGGGACGCAGGGACGCAGCTACATAGTTCAACCAAAGTAGGTCTAGCCTTTTGCCCTTTCAGTCAAAAATCCCAAGACAAGGATACAATGGATAAGATCTCAAGAAGAAGACCTAGGTAATATCACTCAACCTCAGAGCAGCACCCCACTTAAAATGCCAAAATATGACTGGCTGGCTGTACAAGTACACGAGGAGTTCTATTTGTCACCAACATCGAGAGTTACAAAAGTAAAACATGTAATGTGGTTGCTCAACTAAGTGATCAGTATGTGTGTGTGTGTGTGTGTGTGTGTGTGTGTGTGTATATGTATGTATATATGTATATATATATATATATGTATATATATATATATATATATATATATATATATATATCCTTTATTTAACCAGGTAAAAGACTCATTGAGATTAAAATCTCTTTTCCAAGAGTGACCTGGCCAAGAAGGGCAGCATGTACGAAGTTACAACAGATAAAACACAGACAAGACAGGCAGACAAATACAGCTGTAAAACACAAATAAAATGGCACATTAGCCAGTCAATATGCGAAGTAAAACAAACTATTAAAAATCATTTAAAAACTGGCAAAATTTAAAACTATTTTAGGATATACGAGCACTCTCATCGACCAATGGTGTCGTGTTCTCTGTCCTTTTAAGATGGACCTGAATTCCCCCATAGTGATTAAATCTGAGATCGGATTTATTTCTGTAAAATAAACCTAATTTTATTTTTAGCTTTGAAACAACATTTTCCGTGTGTAACTTGAAAGACAAGTTCTGTTCAATAAGAAATCCCAGATATTTGTAAGTAGTGACCCTCTCAATGTCAGTCCCTTGTGCAGTACAAATCTTGGGTAGAATAGATGGTAACCTTTTGCCATTCGAAAATATCATCACTTTGGATTTTTCTGCATTTAATACCAACTTTAGTTGATATTAATGGGTTTGTATGACATCAAAGGCAGACTGGAGAGAATCTAAACTTAGCTCTATAGAAGCGGAGGAACAATAAATAACTCATCTGCATAAAAATGGTAAGAAGCATTTGCTAAATTATTACATAGATTATTTACATATATGGTAAAAAGAATCGGTCCTAATATGGAACCTTGTGGCACACCCTTTGCTATCGGGAGGAAGGAAGAGGACCCAGAAAATTGGACGCATTGGGTTCTCGCTGATAAATCATTTAAAACCCAACCTACAGTATGCCTAGATACTGTGAAGTCTTTCCGCCAGGATGGTATGATCAACTGTGTCAAACGCCTTTGACAAATCAATAAATAGAGCTGCACAATACTTTTTACAGTCCAATGCCTCAATGATGTTGTTCACCACTTTAATAGCAGCAGTTGTTGTGCTGTGTTGTTTTCTAAAACCGGATTGGTGCTCTGACAAAATATCATTTGTGTCCAAGAATAATTGAAGTTGTTCACTGAGAAGCTTTTCAAGGACCTTCGCTACAACACATCATTTTGAAATTGGCCTATAATTATTAACAGATGAGGGATCCCCTCCTTTCAGTAAAGGAAGAACATATGCAGATTTCCATATGTTAGGAATCTCATTGTTGGAAAGAGATAAATTAAAAAGAGAAGTAAGCGGCTCAGCTATAAAGTCTGCAGCTAATTTAAGAAAATGAGGAGGAAGTTTGTCCGGACCTGATTTGTGTGGATCCAGATTCTGCAATGCTTTATGGACCTCTATCGCCTTGATCAATGTGAAATTGAATGGCTGAGCCACGGGATGGGATGGAGGTGTTGAGGAATCAACGTTCTGTCCAGGGTCCGAATGTAGGGACTCGAACAAAGAACCAGAAGAAATAAAATGTTCATTAAAGCCGTTGAGAATGGCCGATTTGTCAGTGAGAGTTTGCGAGTCTGTAACAATGCAGGCTGGTAATTCATTTTTAGTTTCTGTTCCAAATTAGTTTTGTATTACCTTACAGAATTTCTTTGGATCATTTAAGTTACTAGTAGTATTAGAAATTTAGTACTCAGATTTAGCCTTTTTAACTAGGAAGGTGAAACGATTTCGGAGCTGTCTAAAAACAATCCAATCCACTTGGGATTTCGATTTTCTGGCCCTTGACCAGGCAATATCCCTGTCCTTTAGAATGCTGGCCAGTTGAGGACTAAACCAGGGATTTTTTAGCCCTTTCACCCTAAATTTGCGGAAAGGAGCATGTTTGTTTATAATTCTAGTAAAAGCCTCATGAAAATAATCCCATGCCAGTTCAACATCGCTAATGAGAGAGATCTTGTTCCAATCAAAATCCCACAGGTCATGAAAAAATGTTTGCTCGCAGAAATGTTTAAAATCACGTTTAAAAACTATTTGTGGTCTTGTTTTTGGAAGCTTAGCTTGCCTGATTGTAGCTATAGCGCAATGGTCACTCATCATTTGCAAAAATACAAATATCCAAAAACTTATGAGGCGCATTTGTTAAATAAGTCGATAAGAGACGATGATAGAAGATATTGTGTGTATGTGAGAGGGAGAGAGAGTGTGTGTGAGAGAAAGTGTGTGTGAGAGAGGATGAGTGAGTGTGTGTGAGAGAGTGAGTATGTGTGTGTGTGTGAGAGTGAGTGAGTGTGTAAGCAATAGTTTTTTAATAAATCGTCACTGAGGGCCCTCTCTTGCTCAAGGGCCCCTGGGCACAATATTAAATATAAAAATACAAAGTCATCAAGCAACGTGCATAAAACCCTTTATCTTCTACTTCGACAATATTTGTCAGATCTTAACCAATGTTGAAAATGTGATGGACCCCAAACATACTGACGCAGGGTTTTCAGCTGTCCCCTGCCCTCGATTCATTAATATTTAACAGGTTTAATATTAGCATTTTTAAATCGGTGCAGTCAGGATAGACTTCTGAATAGATCAGGGAATGTAAAGAACAATCTGAACATAACTTACTCAACAGGAAAATATGGCAAGATAATAAATGGAAATGTATTTTGGGTAAAGGGGCCTTAAACTGGATTCACAAGATAAGCCTTGTACTTTCAAATTGTCAGTTTAATATCCTGAAGTCTTACTTTTGGTTCACATCTGTTGCATTGGACCCTTTAAATATGCTGGACTGCAGTCAACCATTTGAACTAAAGTTGTTACACTGGTACTTTTTTAAAAGTACGACAAAGGCTGGGAAAAAAACTGAACCATCCTGTCAGGAGCTGTTTATAACGGAGGCTGACAGGTGCACACACACTACAACGGCCCCCTTAACATTTCCATTAGGAGAAATGCACTGGACTTTCAAAAACGATGAAGATAAAAAAAACACAAATGTGCCAAAAAACATCTTCACCAACTTGATGAAACGCAGGGTGAGCATGGTGCGCTGTTATATTTGAAATGACTAGGTTAGCTACATTAGCTAGCAAGCTTACAGCAGTTCTGCAATAATATCTGAAGGAATCATGATCACATTGTTAAAATGAGCCAATAAAATGTATATTTTAGTTTAGTTTCCAGTGACAGTTGGCCACCTTTTATAAGTCAACAAGCGCACCGGTCCCAGCATCACCTTTTAGTGTCCCGGTTTCCATTGTGTATTGAGCTTCTTGCAGAGTTTTTTTATTTGCAGCGTGTTTTTTAAAAATAATTAAAAGCTACCGATGTTTAGTGAAGTTGGTGAAAATGTTTGGCTAAATAAATGTATGTGCCTTATTATTCCTCAGCTATTTAAACATCAACTCATAGAAAATAAAAATGGACTTGCACTTTAATGTAATGCACTTGATCTTGTTGTAGAGGAGAGATATTGGTCCCTTAGTGGAAGTGAGGTCAAATTGAATTTGATATTGCTTCCTCCTGCCACAAGTGCTGCCCAGGTGCCCTCAGGGGAGTCACTTGGTCTGCAGCTGTTCAAGTGAAGCTGAAACTCAAAAGAAACAAGTAGCTGCTGGCAACAAGCACATGTATTCTGACGGATAAAGTGCATTTCAAAGTTTGCACCACCAGTTTATTTACCGTTTTGGCGTCTCTCCAAATTGCAAATTGCCCTTCTTTTACAGACATGCTGATTGATTTTTACACCGTCAAACTATTGCCTGCCTATCTCTAACTCTCAGCCCCTGGCGTATTGTTTCTCAATGATCGTTTTTGACCATTTCTCATCTCGGGTGTGTGGCTGCAGGGCCGCCACCACCTTACTCGCGTATTATAGAATGATGAGATAGGGGTGAGGTCGGAGGG